GTTTACACATCGACGTGTGTGTGTGTGTGTGTGTGTGTTGGTGAAGCTGCTCGGTGTCACTAAGCTGCAGCCTCTGCACTTTTTCCTCCGACCATAAAATCTCCCTCCCTCTTCATCATGTCAGACACTCCTGCTCTTCATCTTCTTCATCCACTTCTCCTTGTGTTTTGTTTCCTTGATTTCTTCTCCTTCCTCCCCTGGTATCAGTTTCCTACAGGTTTTCCTCTCCTTTCTCACTTCCACTCTTTCTCCTTGTCTTTTTGTTTCCTCATCTCCTTTCCTCTATCTCCCTTCTCCATCTCCTCTGCACTCTTCTCTCTTTCTTTCCTCCTCCTCTTCGCTTCCACGCCTCTTCCTCTCTATGTGTAAAATAAGGCAGCAGGTTTGACAAAAAGCTGCATCTATACAAGTTTAAGATCAACAAGAAGAGGAGGAGGAGAGAGAGAAAGAAAGGGAGATGAATACATGGAGGAAGGGAAGACGAGTGGAGGGAGGTGAGGTAAAGGGAGAGGAAAGATAATTTACATTACCTGAGTGAAAAGTTAAGAATAAAAAAGTATTTTAAATCTGTACTTTAATGTACTCGATTACAGGAGTGAAAGAGAAGAACGAGAGGAAGAGAGGAGTGTATGAAGGAGGGATGATGGAGGAGGGAGATTTTGGGGTTGGCGGGGGGGGGGGGGTGAGAGCAAGGTCGTTTCAGGATACGCTGTTTTACATACACGCCACAGTTTGACTTCAGCTCCCATAAATCCTGCTCATCACACACACACACACACAGACACACACACACACACACACAGACACACACACACACACACACACACACGCACACACACACACTGCTGTGTCTCTTGTTAATATTTCTCACATCTTTCATTTAAACACCTCGGAGACGCAGGAATGGGACAGGAGTTGTGTAACCGCCGGTGTGATTCCGAGGGAGCGGCGTCGTGAACAGGAAGAGCGGCATGAGCCACAGGAAGTGGTGTGTGGTGCCAGAGAGGGACTCCCTCTGATGGGAGGGGGCGAGTGACACTGACACTCCTGCAGAGAGAGAGAGAGAGAGAGAGAGACGCCACCTGTTATGTGTGAGGTTCTCGAACAAAGAGTCGTGACCGCCGTGGCGTGTTCTCTGTGGGAACCACACACGCTGAAAATAGCTTCCTCCTTCTGTGTGATGGATTTTATTTTTACTCCTTCATCACCTCCTCACTTAGAAAATAGATATGATTCAGACAGAAGATCACGTCACGTGTTTTTCCCACTGAAAGATCCTGTCAGACCGACAGCGTCTCCTGGTTTGACAGTTATCGAGGTCAAAGACCAGCTTGGTTCCTAATACGAAGTCCAGACCTCGGCGTCGTCTCGTTGATGACGTCTTTACGTTACTTGTTGTCAACATGAGGAGGAAAATGTTCACAGTTTAAATAACTCACGGAGAATTAAGGAATATTTCCTTCATCTCTCTACATTTACGATCTCTTCAGTACTTTTCAGTCAGCGGACATTTATTTTCCAAACTCGTATGAGGTCACTGTGACCTTTGACCTTTGTCCACTGAAATATGATCAACTCTTAAGGAATGAGTTTGATTTGAATAACAGACTCATTTCTGTACCACTTCCTGTTTGTACTTCAGATTCAAGTTCTCCTAAATCACAATCTGCTCGGACCGACGGCTTCTTGTATGAGACCCTTTGAGACTTCAGTGCTTGAAAGAAATCATATCTTTTCTTTCTCTGCAGCCGTCACATAACTAAATAAATATGTATACGCACAGTATGTCTCTATAGGCCCTCTGCCCCCCCCACCTCTCTGCAGTGTGTAATTTATCACCTCGTTCTATCAGTGTGTCAGTTTTAGAGGCTGAATGAATCCCTCTGCTCTAAAACTGCTGCTGGAGTGTGTGTGTCTGTGTGCGTGCGTGTGTGTGTGTGTGTGTCTGTGTGTGTCTGTGCGTGTGTGTGCGTGTGTGTGTGTAGTTCACGTCTGTCCGACCTGCTGCTCACTGGACCGTCTCATCTGCTCTGTGCTCAGTAATTAAAATCTTTGTTTGAGAAATGGCAGTAAAGCAGACGCCTCGTTGTGTCTCGCTCTCGTCGAAGCACGACCTGCGACACAGACATGTTGGCAGGAAGTGATTTCACCTCAACGACACCTCAGCATCTCCGTCATGGATCCTTGTTTTCTTTGTTTTCTGACGCTGTCATCCTGGCGTCCGTCGTCTTTGTCCTGATTTTCCTGCAGACTTCAGACTCTGACCTCGGTTTCAGCAGAGCTGTTTTCAGAAATGTTCCTGAAATGTTTTGGAGGTTGTGCATCTGAGAACACTAATGTCTGAGTCGCTCCGGACATTTTCTGGAGCTTTCATCTGAAAGACAAACTCTAGAAAATGTCCAGAGAGTATTTGTAAATTTAATAAGTTGTTTTATTGTTGCAGCGAGTTTTAGTCTTTTTTCAGATGGTTCTCTGCAGCTCATCCTTGGTGGTGCAACCTTCTGTGATATGAACATTTGTACAAACATTTATATTTTACATGAAGCATTTTATTTCCTTCAGTAAAATTCTTATATATTTAGAGATATTTTTAATACAGCTGATGGTTAAACTGTAATAAAACAAACCTCATTTACATGTCTTTGCATTAGTGTTGACGACGACATCGTAGGAATCATTAACATTTATTGTTTTAATATAAGTATTTGCTGATAATTGAATATTGAATTGCTCTACTTCCTAATGTCAGTATTGACCCCAAAAGCAGCTCGGGCTCAAACATAAAGTTATTGTCTTGACAAGTTGTTAAAGATAGTGTCAGTATATTTAATTGTGTGTTAAGGTGTGCCAGCTAACGTAGAAATCATAACGAGCATCTCTAACACTGAGGACTGAACAGCATTTTGATTCAGTTCTGACGGAGCAGGAGGTTGTGAATCAGTCCCAGCTCCCTGGTCGCTGTGGCTGCAGGTTTAAAAAGTCACACAAGGAAACATCTGAATCCTCTGGAGGAATAAACGGCAGCTCTGTGCCTCCTCTGTGAGCGGAGACGTGTGAAGAGTTTTATCGATGAACAGCAGCGGCTCCTCATCAAAGTTTGATCTGATCTAATATTTTCCTTTGCTCGAGTTCACGACTCAGTGCTTCAGAAATCTGTGTGATCGTTTCCCCTTCAAAGATCCCTCTGATTTCCTCCTGCTCTGTTTTGTGATTTAGCCACGCCCCATGTGCGGTGATGATTTACCGATGTCATGATGTCATCTCTCAAGTTTCGAGAGTTTTTGAGCTTGTTCCTCCTTAAAAATGATTCACATCAGAGAAAAAGAAGGAAAATAACACGAGGGCCCTCACACTGATCAAAGCTCGTCATTAGTTTACTTATAAAATGATATTATATATTTATAGATTCATCATATCTGAGATTATGTGTTTTCCCTTTTATGAATTCCAGTCTCTGCACTTTGTTACACACTATGTGCATTTTCTCATGTGTGCGTGGGCGTCCATATGTGCATGTGTGGCCATGTTTGGTGCCATGGGAACAGACATATGGTGATGATCACATGCCAGGAAGGTCAGTCCCACGGAGGGACGAAAAACAAGAGACGTGAAGCCAATGGAGACGACCAGGGCAGCTATATGAGACACTCGGTTTTTGTTGAGATGATCAGTAGAGGAACAAAAGAAAGCTTCAGATTCTTTTTGTGTCTTTTAAATTTGTCTGAGCTGCCTGAACACGACAGGATCACGTGTGTCTGTGGCAGGTCGAGCTGCAGCGCCTCAAAAATGTCCTGTTACCTCAGAGTCGTCCCCTTTTCCAGATCACCAGACCTTCCCTTGGTTTTTAATGTGAAACAGTGAAACACAGTCAGTGTGCAGACGTTAGTCCGTCCTCTCTGTGACCTTTCGTCTAACGCCGGCCTGAGGACGAATTATAAACTTTGTGTACAAGACAAATTACATTTCTACCATGACCTTAGTTCAACTTTTTTGTTGATGTCACAGAATTTGTGTTTCATTCTGGACAATTTCATAGA